AGGCAAATTTCATAATTAGCGTTGCATGGTCTTCGGCGGCTACTGTATGTTTCTGCGTCATTAGATATCTTGCAGGTGTGGTACTGTTGTGAGACCCGTGGCATATTAATCACCTGGGTTTTTAATTTCAAATTATACAACACGGTTTAAGTTTATTGACAAAAGGAACTTTGCTAGCTTACACTTGCCAGGAAAATAGACGCTGGTTAACTCTGCGGTTGAAAACTTTTGAATTACACACCTCAATCTAAACATAGTGGGCTTATTTAACTACCTTTTGAATTATGATATTAATCCACCAAAAAAGTTAACTTCTATAGAGATCTTCAATCTTATTAAATTAAAACGTAAATGTAGCTTTATTGTAGGATTGATGCGAATCAACCTTGATTAAAAACCCTCTGGTAGACACTGGTGTGATGGCACAACGGGAGTCCGATGGAGTAAACTCAATTATTTGTCTGGTAAATTAAAAAGGACCTCTCTGTGTTGAATGTAAAATTCTAAAATAGCCTTACCTAGCGTCAAAACTCAAACACATCTTAAGCAGCGTATTTTGTAGTAAAATTGAATCGGTGAAAACTAAATAAGCTACAGTGTCAGACTTCAGGCGCCATTAGATGGTACGGAAATTCTAAACTACTATTTCCCGCCGCATGCTCTCCCCTAAAAAATGATGGACTTGCCCGCCAGCTGGACCAAAGATACATATTTTTCTTCGGTTCACAAATCCAGCTTAATATACTTTCGGTGATCGTTTCTGTCACTTTACAAGATAGACCTCGAGTACGAGGGAGAACCGCGGTCAGAACGTGCATTAAAATAGATATCTTAGTCTCAAAACCATTGGGATATAAATTTTAGCAATCGGGACGTACTGTCAATGAAAACTAGGGGCACCGGAATGTCCATCTCAAACTAATCTGCTATCGTCATCCAGTGGTGCATAAACCGCAAGTCGGATGGCGCGATTTCAATCGTAAACAGTTGACGTTGATCGTTTATAAGTTAAGTGTCCCCTGCAGTTTGCTCAAGAATACTTCAGAGTATATGTGTGGGTGTGAATATTTTTCGGACTTCACTTTTGTACCATTCCGATAAACTCCTGTCTTATCTTTCAGACGCACATGTTTTTTCATTATCGCTGGTTGTAGTGGACAATCAAAAAGTGGGGTATCCCTACAGTTATAATATTATTGTCTTGTGCGGGGTAAGAATTGCCAACCTGGGCAATTCCGATGGTGTTCCCAGTCGCCCGATAGCGAGAGCTCGAATTCACTCTGGAGTGAAGAGTTTCTAAATGCCTTAATTTTTCTATTTAAATCTTCTGTAACATTTAAAAATACTTTCTGCCTTAATGATTTCTGGATTGCTGCAGGTTTAATTTATATAAGAATCTTTATGCTTTTTGTAGAAACGTTCATCCTTTTGGTCCCCGTCGAGCGATGGTGAAAGTTTGATTGGACAGGTTTATCTGCGTTGCCCCAGAGATTCGAGTGAGGTTGGCCTCCTCAGCAGTTTTGGTATGTTCTCACAATTACATAATTCACAACTTCGCAATGTTTTCCTTACAATCCATAAATTGGCTACGCACTTGACGTTCTGCGTTCCTTATAAGATTTTTTGTTAGTCTACTGGTTAGTCCAGACAGACCGAATAAGCAAATGTGTCAGGTGAAATGGCTTACTACTTGCTCCTACGTTTTGCGTCTGTTACACGACGTGAGCCGTTTTGACTCAAAGCCATATTAACTTTACCCTTCATGAAGTAATGATAATTGATTGACCTTGGCTGGCCTATAATATGATTTGTTATACCTCCAACCCTATTAGCTAGCAACAACCAATATGCATAACATGCTGGCTAGCGAATACTGTAAAGTTGTTTTGCTCTTGAGGCACAGGGGCCTATGGATCAAACTTCAATTCATATCAAAATTTGCAGATCCACATGCAATTAGCTATAAATGAGTTAGCTCACTCCTCCGTCGGCCACAATCGAAAAATCTGACCGTTTGAGGTTCCTAAACGATCCAGTCAAGGGTAATATAGGTTGAATATCGGAGACAGAGAGAACTGTGTGAGAAGCTCTTTCGAACTAGTTCATTGTCCTTCTCTGTCGTTTATACCACAGCCCAGTGTCTGTAAATAGGCACCAGACTGGTATGGATAAGCAGATCCAGTGCAAACGCCCACCCTTTGGGAAGAAGCTAGTGAAGGAAGTACATAAGAAACACTGTTTCCAAAATACTTAGTACCTAGTTTTTAACAATCAACGTGTTTTAAATTGCAGGCCTAAAACTGGTAATCGGAAAGCGGATGCCCTCCGACCTTATCGGGACCTTCATCAGCCATGTTCAGGAGGGTTCGGTGGCCGATGTGGTTGGCAGTCTGCAAACAGGGGACGAAATACTTGAATGGAATGGACACAGTCTGCGAGGCCTTCATCAGGAGCAGGTCTCCGAGGTCCTTGCTCTCTCGTGTGAAAGCAGTGATGTCTGGATGATTGTTCAACGAATATTCGAGTGAGCACTCCCGAATTTTGATGGGGAGATTGTCACAATTAACCTTTTTCGAATACTGGATTCATAGTGTTGCCTTAGGTGTATTTTTCAGTCCAGTACCTAGAGTTCAAATATCAGCGCGTCTGGTTTATGGGACGTTTATGCTACTTAAAGTACTGATGATAGGAAAATATGTTATAGCGGACCTTGGCATGTTTACAAAGTTTACTTAAATGTATTGAACGATTTATGTCAGTTTACTCTTAGTTTAATTTCGGTAAATGTCGTGTTAACATGAAGGCCTTAGAACAATGGATCAGAGACACTGCCAAGCCGTATGCCGAGTCCCTGAGCACTCATAATGTGCTCTTTGAGAAAACAAGGACATTGATAATGATATAAACCACTATTTTTTTATGTTTAACCTTGCATCTTACAAAATGGTATATCAAACTGCTACCTCCACATGCCCGTCAAGAATGTACCTTCGCATCTGGTTTCTTTTCACCATAACTATAACTGGAGTAGATAAAGCGGGAACGCGTTATTTATCGAGAATTTCTTCTGTGTGAGTTAAATACACGTACATTCACGAAACCTTTGCGCTAAATTCGTAAGAAATAAACGTTTGTACTCTCTAATGCTCCCCTCCTGACTGTTGTCTTGGGGTCACCACAAAGTTTCGTATTAAATAATGCCAATAAGTTGCTTTGCTATGCCAGCTCCATTTGTCGAACAGTGAATGAACTTCTGCCACAGTTTGTTTTAAGATTCGCTAAGTACTTTACTTTGAAAAATGCTTCAGTCTTAAACAGCTATGAGGTACCGACTCGCTAAGTAGTAGGAGCATCGCCAGCAAACTCCTTCGCTTATCATCCATGAAGCTCTTATTGTGCGTTATTGATCCTGTTTCTTATCTCAATTGAATGCCATTCTGTGTGAA